AACTGGAGAGGATCGATGACTGATACCCTTAACATTAGATTACAAATTTCCTTTTACATTTGATCTACCACTTGAGCCAAGGGTATGCAAGCTATTTGTTTCTTGGTTCTACACATCATAATCCATGACTCAGGAATTCAAAGTTTCGTAAGAAAATGTCATGATCTGAATATTTGGTCTTACTGTGCATGACTATGATTTTGTCCTAATGCTTTCACTTTGGTTCATCATCTACCTTTTTTTTAATTTTTTTTGTAGGCAATTTTTTGTTAGAACTGTTTTATATCTTTTCTTGCCCTTGATTATATCTTTGCCTCTATGAGATTTTTTTTTAAAATTTTTCTTTGATAAGAAAAGATTGTGTTAAGAAAGAAATTAAAAGAAACTAAATGTATTCTCGTAAAGAAAATTCCCGAATACACACTTTTGACTGAAAGTGAGAAGAGAACTCGTGGAATCCTAGCGTGTTATGATGACATGTCTTTTCCATGAAGTGATGTGGCAAAGGTTTTGACTATTGAGGATATGAATATTACAAATTCTATGTTTTTGTCGTTTTTCCTTTTCATATAGTGGAAGGAGAAAACAAGATTACCCTTGTAAGTGGAAAGGACTGCTTTGTCTGAGAAATATCATGCCAAACTCCAACTCCTTTACTTAGAGATTTTGATATACGACAAATTAAGATCAATTTGCTTACATGAGGGAAAACCTAGATATCATATCTAGGTTTCTTTAATATCATGCTAAAAATTTGGTTGAATGACGCAATCAGATATTGAAAAATTCTAGAGGTATTATATTGAATAATTGGATAATAATTTTAAGTGAGATTGTAAATGTATTTATAGATCTTCTTATTTCAAAAAAAATTATAGATGGTCAAATATAAAATAATTGTTTCATGAATAGTATTAGAATAAAAAATATAAAGTTTAATGAGATTAAAATTACTATTCCTGATAAAGATAGGAGAACAAAACATAAACAAATTTAGAAGTATAACCTAAGTAATGTAATTCTTATATGGTAATTTACTATTATGCCTATGCCCCGACACTTTTTTTGAACCATAATCTCTCTGAAAATGAGCCACAACCCAGCATTCCTAGTAGCAAAACGAGCAAAGAAAAGGGGGAAAAAACCAATGTAAATTTGTGAATGATAAAACCCTTGGATGAAACCATGTGACTTGGCCTACAATGAGCCATCCAGATGTCCAATGAAATTTGAGGCTGAACTAGATGGTTAGAGATTTTTTTTTTTTGAAATAAAAAGAAAGTAATATTACGCACAAGGTACCAAGAGAGTACCACCCATATATAAAATAGTTATATGCCAATCAAGTGACTCATGACAACACTAAAGTCTTCCCAATTTTTAGTGTCATGACTCAACAAAATAGAGTCAGAAGTGTGAATCTATCTATCTCAAATTTTTGTAAAGTTAATCTCTATAACCTCAAAAGCTCTCCAATTTTTTTCATTCTACACTACCCAAAAAATAGTGAGTGAAATAAAAAAATAAATGATTTTTCTTTTTACAAAAACCTGCCTATGCCCATAGCTTATTTCTCACACTACCAGGCATAATCCAATTTAACCCTAACAACTCAAAACAGAGATCCATATGCTGTATGTCACTGGACAAAATAATAATAAATGGTTGCATGTTTCTCATCAGCATGACATAAATAACATTT